AAAAAAATGAAAGGAAAAAACTTAAATCATAACAAAAACGTGTATCACACAGAACGTGTATAACTTGCATGTGTGTGCAAGTTAAAATTAACTCATAGGAAAGAACCTGACGCGCGGTTCGGTGCAGTATATATGCACCTTTGTCAGAGGAAAAAGATCTACTGAACGTGGAGTCCCTTATATCAGAGTACTGAACCCAAAGGTAATTAACAACAGCCAATCGGTTCCCTGGACATCTTGAAGGGGTGTGTGAGGGGGCGTGACCATCAGATGACTGATGTCATACCTGAAGTATACCTTATTATATATAATAGATGCCCATAACAGGGCTGTCAAATAAAAAAAAGTTTAGTTCATTTTTATTTTATTATTTATTCAATATGTTATTCTTATTTATTGTTTTTAGCTTATTCATCCTCATATAGCCTGTTATTAAGAGTTACAGAAGGTGCATGAAGGTTTCAATGACTGTCTTTGGTCAGGTTCACTGGCAGGGGTTGCAGTATATTTGTTTTTTTCTATATATATATATATTCGGGCTGATGTGTAATGTAGTCGTTGCTGCCGCCCAGGAATAATGGGAGTGAGCGCAGGAATTATCTTTCTGTATTTGTATTCACTTTTTGTATCACACAGCTTTGTTACAATGCTGCCGCCCATCCCATGTGTTCCCTATTAAGGGTTAATAAATATATAGGGATGTATATAAAAAATACCCCTCTATGTCTCATTAGAGATATCTTTGCTAGAAGCTCAAGGAAGCAAGGTGAAGAGTCAGTGTAGGACCCGCTTAGGGGGGTCTGCTTTGACGTTGGCAGGCGGGCATTCCCTCCAATGGCCATTGGAGTAACTAAATGACCTCTATTTGTTTAAATATACATAGGGATTAAGGAGAGAGAGAGCAGGTAACTTGTTAATCCAAGGAAGTTAAGTGCCTGTCCTCCTGTCTCCGATATGAGTTTCAAATTGATGGATGGGTAAGGCAGTGGCTGAGTGACAGGCAAAAGAGGGTTGTAGTCAATGGAGTATATTCAAAGCATGGGCTTGTCACCAGTGGGGTACCTCAGGGATCTGTAATCGACCCATTCTCTTTAATATTTTTATTAGTGATATTGCAGAAGGTCTTGATTTTAAGGTATGTCTTTTTGCTGATAATACTAAGATATGTAACAAGGCTGATGTTCCAGGAGGGATAAGCCAAATGGCAAACGAATTAGATAAAAATGGTCAGAATTGTGGCAACTGACATTTAATGTGGATAAGTGCAAGATAATGCATCTTGGACGTAAAAACCTAAGGGCAGAGTACAGAATATTTCATAGAGTCATCTACAACATCTGAGGAAAGGGACTTAGGGTTGATTATTTCTGATGACTTAAAGGTAGGCAGACAATGTAATAGAGCAGCAGGAAATGCTAGCAGAATGCTTGGTTGTATAGGGAGAGGTATTAGCAGTAGAAAGAGGGAAGTGCTCATGCTATTGTACAGAACACTGGTGAGACCTCACTTGGAGTATTGTACGCAGTACTGGAGACCGTATCTCCAGAAGGCGTTCAGAGAAGGGCTACTAAACTGGTCCATGGATTGCAGGATAAAACTTACAAGGAAAGGTTAAAGGATCTTAACATGTATAGCTTGGAGGAAAGACGAGATGGGGGGATATGATATAAACATTTAAATACAAAATACAAAAAATACATAAAGGGAATCTATGTTTCCATGTTATTCTGCTTCAGGATATTGACAAATTCAAGGAAAGCAATCTCAGTACCAGTCCAAATGATAAGCACATCATCGATGTATCGTTTCCAAAGTTGGATGTGGTTGATATAGTACGCTAGTTCATTGCTGAACACTATAGTTTTTTCCCACCAGCCCAGGTGGAGGTTGGCATATTAGGGAGCACAAGCCATCCCCATAGCTGTCCCCCTTACCTGCTGGTAGTACTTGCCCTGGATCAGAAAATAATTATGTGTCAATATAAACTGCATAAGATTCTTAACAAACTGATTGTGAGTCTGGACAGATGGATTCACTGTATCAAGGAATGACATCATATGGTTGAGTCCTATTTCGTGTGGGATAGACCTATAGAGGGCTTCAACATCCAGACTACAGAGGATGGCATTCTCTGAAACTTGTACGTTTTCCACAACATTCAAGGTTTGCTTGGTGTCTCTAAGATATGACGGTACATTCTCAACTATTTCCCTTAGGACCTGTTCAACATAAACACTGATGCTTTGTGTCGTTATTTCTGCCAGAAACAATAGGTCTGTCAGTAAGTATGGATTGTTTCTTGTGACTCTTTGGGAGTGCGTAGGATGTGGCTATTGTGGGGTTGTTGATGAGCATAAAATTGTACTCCTCTCTGGTTATTAATACAGACTCGAAGGCCTCATCGAGGAGCAATTTGAGTTCAAATTGGTATTTTCTAGTTGGATCTGCACTCAGAATATCGTGTCTGAATCTCCAACCAAGCGTAGTGACATCTCAATATATTGACTCGTATCCATTACCACCACATTCCTTCCCTTGTTCGAGGGCTTAATCAACAATGATTCATTCTGGCTCAGTTTTTGCAATGCTTTGCATTCGCTCACATTTAGATTGCTACAAGGTTTAAGTAACATGTCCCTGTTCACAATTTTCTCAATACCTGCACAGGTTAATTCGACAAATAAATCGATATACTTAAATTCAGTCAAATGAGGAGTGAATTTACTCCTACATTTAAGTTTGGTAAATGGTGCTGCCGTGTTGTCCTGTCTATCATTAGCTGTGAGGAGGTCCACTTGGGTATCCAATATTGCTACATCTGAAGCTTCAAGACCAAGGTTTTTTGCACGTTTCTGACCCTTCAGGCAGTGAAACTTGAGCAAAGCAAGCTTCCTTGCCAATAGGTGTATGTCCCTTGTCCAGCTGAACTTGTCAAATTCCGGCACTGGGACAAAGGACAGACCCCTACTCAAAATACATAATTGCGGGATGGAGAGTTCATATGAGGAGAGGGTCATCTAATATTTTCTGCGTATGTTGTATTGGGATCTCATGCGGCTTCTCGTTAGAGGAGGAAATTTTCCTCTAGGTTCGGTCGCCCTAAACAAGAAACCCCTTTCCTTAGGATACGTTTAGGATTTAGAGTTGTAACTGGAAGGGCATCAGGGTTCGATTCTGAAAATTGGTCAGAGTCAGTTCGTCTATTTCTGCTGGTATTCCTATAAACATTGTCTGTCTTAAAATCCAGGGCATCCCTAACAAATTTGGAATGTTTGCGAACTTTAATAGATGATTGAAATTTTTCCAGTTGGTTCTGGAGAGAGGCTTTCTTTACTTTATCTGTCCTACTTTTGATTATTAGCGCTGCTGATCCTCTAGACAGTAACCTTTCTCCCTTTAGCATTTTTACTGGTGCTCAGGAATTGAGGGGAGAACTACTAACACCCTATGCAATAAAAGGCCAGGACTAATTAAGCCTATATGTATATAGTGTTTAGCACTTCATCTCCTCACTTACTTAGGCATGGGAGTTTGTTATGATTTATGATTTACATTTTTTCTTCTATGCCTATCTAGTAAGTCTCACAAGGAGAGAGGCTTTCCTTATTTCACTTTACTTTATCCGTCTGTCTACTTTTGATTATTAGGGCTGCCAATCATTTAGACAGTGGCCTTTCTCCCTTTAGCACTATTTCTGGTGCTTAGGTACAATGGGGAGATTAACAAACACCCTATGCATTAAAGGGCCAGGACTAATAAAGCCTATATGAATATTGCAGACTTGGGTGTTTAGTAACTTTATCTCCTCACTTACTTAGGCATGGGAGTAGCCTTATAAGACTAGTTCGGTATTTATTATTATTTGGAGTCACAATTTATTTCTGTGTTGATACTTTCTGTTACTTCAGATATTTAGTGATCTCCCTCTGGTTACATTGTTCCATACCACTGGATGCTTTGGTGCCTACGTCTTTATTTCCAGTCAGCATTACATTCACAGTTTGTGAACTTTTGCTTTTTTGTTTCTGTATGTGGTAAACTGTATCTTTATTGTTCTGTTAAAACTTTTTCACTACAGAAGATGAAATCTCCTTGTGCTAACTCTCAATGTATAACTGTCTGTTACAGGAGGTTCTCCGGCTCTCACTCATACCAGCTACATGCACGGTTTGTGCTGTAATTATGTAATGGAAGAATTATTAACATCTTCTAAAGCAGTTAAACTTTTAATAACTATTGTAGTTGTTTTTGAAATAAAAAAATTAAAAAAAATATAAAAACATTTGCTCTAGGAATATGTAATCTCAATTTAGAAGAAACATGGCAATTATTTTACAGTGGATTATTTTTTTTCATCATACACAAAGAAATTGATGTGTGTATTTAAAAAAAATACAGTGCTTGCATTTTACTGATGGAGTAAGCGGATAAAGAAACCGGGGAAAAGCACTTAGTTGACATATTTGAAAACTATCATGCATCCTGATTGGATCCAATCAAAACACAGCAAGAATTCAAATTAGAGTCATGAACTATAGCATACACAGATGAAAGTAAAAAAATGGTATCCCAATCCACTATAAAATGCGAACTTCCTGGAGCATTTAAAATACACAGGAAAGTTTCATAGCATGTGCCTTTGCTTCTGTAAATCAAATTTACTGTCCTTTTAACTCATCTTACTATCTACAGGTTAAAAATCCAAAGCAACTGTCGAAAAGAAGTGTATTATTTTCAAAATTACCCAGACATTTTCAAAGGTAATTTTAACTTCTTAAAAATGGAAATCTTTTGCCAGAAACTAAATCTGCGTGCAACAAATAATTTTTTTCTTCACTCTTTTTGTATGCTTTGTGTCATACTTATTGCAGGGCTCGAAATGTTAATGCATTTGGCTCGGGACTAGTGATGTCGCGAACCGTTCGCGAACGACACATCCCGGCCAATCTCCAGCAGACCCTCCCTCCCAGACCCTCCCACCTCCTGGACAGCATCCATGTTGAAGGCATCCCGGCCAATCTCCAGCAGACCCTCCCTCCCAGACCCTCCCACCTCCTGGACAGCATCCATGTTGAAGGCAGCTTCAACATGGATGCTGTCCAGGAGGTGGGAGGGTCTGGGAGGGAGGGTCTGCTGGAGATTGGCTGGGATGTGTCAGCTGACCGGAGCTCGCCACGAACGGTTCGTGGCGAGCCGTTCGTGGGAAGTTCGTGAACGGTTTGCGACATCACTACTCGGGACACATCTGTACAACAGTTTGTGATTTAACTTGTTATAATGTCCAAAGAATCCTACAATTCTGATGAATAATTTTAGAGACATTAAGATGGTAGAATGATAACTCTTCTTTCAAAAAAAAAAAAAAATTAGTTTTGTTAATATGTTATCAAACTCACTCATTCCAGGCTCAGTCAGATAGCTGTAGCGCTTACGTAAGGCTAGAGATACGAAGTTCTGGCGTCTGTCCACTTTATCAGTCTACAGAGGGGAAAAAAGCACAAATTAAGTTTCGACCCACTTTACAATAATGTTTCCTTCAATAAATATTGTTAGGTCAAGAAATCACACGCGTGAGACTTTAGTGTCTAAAAACTATTAACAAGTCACACAAACTACATTTAACTGACAATTAGACAATATACACATTCGTGTTTTGTATTGCGTTACATTAAAAACAGAAAATGCACATTATGAGTTTTGAAATGAACAAAAGGCAACAATGGGTAACATTGAAAACCTCACTGTATGGAACAAATTTTGTAGTGAGACGTGTAGACAATATTTTGCACCTAATCTTTGGGCTAGAAAGGGGGTAGCCATTTTAAAACTCCACTTATTTGATAACCTTTTTTTTATATGCACTTTTATATCATGGATTTGGATAATTAAAACCAAAGAACCCCACATAATGTTCAAATTACCCTTTTGCTTCTATTACAGAAGGAAATATTTAAAAATTTAAATTTAATGAAGAAATGTCATGCACCTTTTCCGATACATGGGATTTGCTCCCGACGGAAGCCGTGCCTCATTCTCTAAAGTAAACTGGGTAATCCACAGTGAGAGAGTCACAGGTTTTATATACAGTCTATATGAGACAGTCTATATCACACTAATTTCATCTGCAAACCAGCATTTCTCCCGGTTTGAGCAGTGACATAGAACTATCTCACTACTGACTTGCAGAATGGATATGCATATATCTGCACTGTTTGTGTGAACTTTCCACTTGCAAAAGTGTACCCATGAGGAGTGCGCAGTAAATATAAGTTGCAAGAATCGTAAGATAAAATGTGGTTTTCAAAATTCAGTCTATATAATAAAAATAACTCTTCCTGTAATTTTAACATTTTAGCAGCATTTTAAACTCTGTGTTAATTTCCATTATGCTATACAGTATTTTGTACTTAACAAACGTGCTCTGGAACTTAGCAATGCCGGGAAGGCACAGTAATTGTATAATTGCTCTCGGAGTAACATGTACGCCCACTAGATGGCTGTCTTTCCCCCCCTCTCTTTTTAGGCTATGGCTTACCCTTAAAGTACTTAGTACTTTTATATTATTGTATTTTATAGTATCCACTTTTTGTTCCCTTTTTATCCAGTAATGTGTTTTATTAGTGCTTGTACTATTTGTTTACTTTTTGTTAGGGGTTAGAGTGTTCCTCAGCTTCGGAGTTTGCTGCCTTCGGTCTGCCTGCACTAGAACATCAGACGTTTTAACCTTTCTTTTGATATTTTTCTGGCTAACCCTTAGCTGTGCCTTCCTGCCCCGTGTAAAATGGTTTAATATTAATGTCTGTGTTCTTAGGTGGTATATCTCCATCTGCTATTAAAGGGAACACTAGTAAAGAGTCAGATCTCTGTCCTGACTTAGCTGGAATAGAAGATAGAGCATGCCTGCTAAATTGAAAACTATACAGATGGAATAACAGCACTATTTTTTTTACGGTTTCATATACAGTTCTACTATGAACTGATACTCTTTCATGGTTTTACACAAGTCAGAAAGTAATATTTATACCTTTTTTTTTTCTCAATAAAAATGTCTCATCTTATTTGTTACTGAACATGGCTACTTTACTTTATCAAGTGAAAAAACTGCAGGGGGTGCTCCACATCATTCCTGCACTCAAAGGAAAGAGTACGGGGTATTTCCCCTGAGTTTTAGCATTAAACCTAGAGATTTAAGCAGCTGAGATAAGCAGCTGTTAGGTCCCCATAGATCTTTGGGATGCCTATCAGAAAATGGATGAGAGACCAATATAATTGTGATACAGAATTATTGTAATACTCACAGACATGTATTACTTCCTTAGTTTGTGTATATTGGAATGCATCCCCTGCGTTATTGACCTTTTCCAGCTATGGACGCTACAGTTTAACTAGCTTGCTATTATCATGTTGGTAGAACAAAACAAAAAAATGTTTGTGACAAAAAATAAAATCAGAAAATGGATTGTTATACAGTAATCTCTGTGCGATGGTAAGTCAAAGTCTTGCAAACAGCTAGTGACATACAAATTGTTAACATCTGCAGAGCACCTTAAAAATACTAAAATCAAATGTTTATTTAATATTGAGTTGATGAATGAATGAAGAAGCTTAGCGAGTGAGGCTAGATTCCACATAAGATATTCTTGTCTAACCCTGAGTGATGTATAACAAAATACATAATATTACCTCATCATCTTGGTCTGACTCTGTTTCCTTTTGGGTCCAAGATGCATTGCAGAGATAACGTATATTAAAGTGGGCAGCACAGGGAAAAGAATATTAGGACATGAAAAGGGGGACAGGTTGGAAGCACAGTAAGCACAGAACGTAAACAGACAAGTAGATAAGTAGACAGGAAAAGCAATAACTGTATATTAACAAAGCTTGTTATTTGGATACTACAAGTGAAACACACTGAACTGAACGACCTACTTTTAACAAAATTCACAAACCTGACAAAACAAGTGGGACAACACGTTTAATGCATAGTCAGAGTATCCAAACCTTTAGTAAAACTGTAGTAGACTATGGATTTAGATTCTAGTTCACAAACTAAAAGATCTACTTAAGAGTTCACAGCTGTGGAATTTCCAGAGATGGATTAGACCAGTTGGGACAGATAGATAAAGTAGAATTTCAAAAACTTGGCTCCAATCTTATAAAATGAAGGTGGAGATACTGTAATTATATCCTTCTTAATGAATGTACTGTATGTTTTCCATCCGTTTTTGTTGTAGCAATCTAAAAATGTTCTATCTTCTGTGCTTTACTACTTAAAATTTAAATACTGAGTCCCTGTATGACACTAGTGGGTAGAGTAACTTCTGTCAAGAAAACCACCAGAGAGTGGAGACAAGCAAAGGGCGCCTACTTCCTGTACAATGTTTTATCAAAACAGCCACGTTGGAGCAAATTTCATTCTGGCTACTTCTGTAGCTGCCAGGAACCTCCTCATTCAATAGAGTTAACTGCAAGGCACCATTTGCATGTCCCTCAGAGACTGATAAAGCTTCTGATAGAGAGGTGCTATAGAATAGTTTGTACTTTGAAATTAACATTGTATCTCCATGGTTCCACATCCACCAGTCCTTCATATATTAATAACAGGAAGCAGGAAAGAAGGTACAATGTCCCCAGTGAGTCATCCAAACAGAGCTCAAAAGTAGTCATTGAGTAGTCATTGGTGAGTGAAATTTTAGCCCTGTGCCATGGACCCTCCAGGCTTGCAGTGGCAAGTAACCTTCAACGCTTGGCTAGTAGGATGGGACTTGTAATTTTAAGCCCTGCAGCCATGTATTTGTACACTGTAAGCACACAGAGCCTAATCATGTCGCTCTCCTTTACTTGCGGCCATGTGCAGTGACCACACACAGTACAGTTCCCTGAAAGGCCCAGTGTGCACATTACTAATATTCTTTAATTTATTTCCTAACAAGACAATCGCTTACAACAGACTATGAAATGAATTCAGGAAAGATTAATTTACAGCTATTTGTGCAATAGTAAGTTTGAAAACGGTGTGCACTACTAAGAAATACAGACACTAAGTCACAGTTACCAGTATCCTTAAAGGATTCTATGAAGTTGTAAAGGCAAGAAAACATGAACACTGCATTCTTTTAGTGTTGATTCGGTGGCTTTATACCTTTTTTTGAGTTGGTAATGTAATGTTTAAGTTGCAAACAGCAGTCTGTGGCAGGCCTTTAGTAGTTTTTGGCTCCTTCAAAAATGACAGTCGACCACATGGTTCTTGACTTGGGTCTCGGACCTAAAAGAAACAGGCAAATTACTTTCTACAGACCAATGTTACTGTTTTAAAATATATTGTTGATGCTCAATAAGGTAAAGCTAGTCAGATGGGAATCCTACAGTTTAAATGAGGGCGCTTAAAGGAACACTATAGGGTCAGGAACACAAAAATGTATTCCTGACTCTAAAGTGTTAAAAACACCCTCAAGCCCCCCTGGCCTCCCCCTCGCCCTACTAAATATAGCGACATCTTACTTTTATTCACCTGCTGCTGGCTCTTCCCCTGAACTGCCTGCTTGGCTAATATCAGTAGAAGTTATTCTCTGAGCCAATCACAATGCTTTCCCATAGGATTGACTGTCAAGGAGGGGCAGAGGCAGCACAAGTCAAACAGAGTCCTGGCCAATCAGCATCTCCTCATAGAGATGCATTGAATCAATGCATCTGTATGAGGAAAGTTCTGTGTCTCCGTGCAGAGGGTGGAGACACTGAATGGCAGAGCTGGACACTGCAGCACTGCCCCAGGAAGCACCTCTAGTAGCCAGTGGAGGTATCCCCAGGCTGTAATGTAAACACTGCATTTTCTCAAAAAAATAAATAAAATTATCGCAAAAGCCTGAAGGGAATGATTATACTCACCAGAACAACTATGACTACGGCGTCCCTTTAAATATTTTCAGAAAAGCATTTGGAAAATTAGGAGAAATCCGTGCTTGCTAATCATGGGAGCAGATTTTGTTGATTATTAAAAGCATACCTCCCAGGTGTCCCATCCCTATTTTGGGACCAAATCGCTCTCTCCCTCTTTATCCTAATGTCCCTCTTTTCTAGGAGCTCCACCTTGTTGGTGTTTCTGAGTGTATAACAGAGCTCTATAATAATAATACTCACCGTAATATAACTTTAAACCACA